TTATACTGTATTATATTTCTACTCCTATTTTGTAAGGTAGAGAACTTCACACAATGAGACACAGAACTCTCAAACTTTTCATTTAACTAAGAAATCCAGTGAGGCAGTGGGTTCTGCTTCTTATCTCTTCTGCGTAGGGAACGGAGACATGCTGAAGATCACTGTTGACGTAACACAGAAACCCACCAGGGTTTTGGCGTTTTGTTTTTTTTTAGAACATTCTAGAATGTAGAATGTCAATATCATGGCCAGGGCAACAACAACAACAACAAAAAAACAACCATGAGAATTGCAGACCCTTTCACTCGACATAAATAATACAGATTATTTCTCCTTTATTAAAAATTTCATCTGTGAAGACAGCTTTATAACACAAAATAGTATCTGTTTTTCTGTATCTAACTGAAAAGAAGGACTTTTTCTTCCTTTCTACCTTGCTGAGATCTTTCTCCCAGGCAGCACTGAGGAGCTGTTAGAATCCCTCTGGTTAGCAGTGAGGGAAAAGAACAAGTCTGAGTAATCTGCACTTACAGTAAGGATCAGAAAACAAAAGAAAGAAAATGTTGATAAAAGGAATGTGAGCATATATATTTTGCATCTACAGAAACAGATCTTCATCTCTAATAAGTTAAAATTTATTATAAAAATTCTGTAGGCTGAGGGGTGCCTGGGAGGCTCAGTGAGTTAATCCTCTGCCTTCGGCTCAGGGCATGATCCTGGGTCCTGGGTTCAAGTCCTGCATCGGGTTCTCTGCTTAGCAGGGAACCTGCCTCCTCCACCCTCTCTCTGCCTGCCTCTCTGCCTACTTGTGATCTCTGTCTGTCAAATAAATAAATAAATAAAATCTTTTTAAAAAATCTGTAGGATGAAAAGATATTAATGCTTAATAAATTCCAACATTTCATGGGCAGCAGCTCTCTCTCAAAAAAAAAAAAAGGAGTGTCTTTTGTTTAAGTAAAAGACATTGTCTTCATTCCTTTTGACTCAGCTGTTTTTTGTTTGGTGTCTTGGTATTTCTATTTTTACCTTAGCTACTGAATTATTAGCTCTAAATTAGCCTATACTCAGATGTATAGTAATATAAATTTAAGATATAATTTGGTACCTTGTGTCCTGCATACATCTTTATATTTAAATGTTTCAAAAATAAAATGCACCTTATTACTAAAGACAAGAACAGAAAAAAAAGAGCATTAGTCATTATTTCTTTTTTATCATTATTATGTTATCTTAGTCACCATACAGTACATCATTAGTTTTTGATGCAGTGTTCCGTGATTCATTGTTTCCATATAATAGCTAGTGCTCATTACACCACGTGCCCTCTTTAATACCCATCGCCAGGCTAACCCATCCCTTCTCCCCCATACCCTCTGAAGCCCTCAGATTATTTCCCAGAGTCCATAGTCTTTCGTGGTTCATTTCCCCCTCTAATTACCTCCCTTTCCGTTTTCCCTTCCTTCCCCTAATGTCCTCCATGCTATTCCTTTGTTCCACCTACAAGTGAAACCATATGACAATTGCCTTTCTCTGCTTGATTTACTTCACTTAACATAATCCCCTCCAGTTCCACCCATGTTGATGCAAATGGTAGGTATTCATCCTTTCTAATGGCTGAGTAATATTCCATTGTGTATATGGACCACATCTTCTTTATCCATTCATCTGTTGAAGGACATTTCAGCTCCTTCCACAGTTTGGAGATTGTGGCCATTGCTGCTATGAGCAGTGGGGTGCATGTGCCTCTTCTTTTCAGTACATCTGTATCTTTGATGTAAGTACCCAGTGGTGCAGTTGCTGGGTCATAGGATAGCTCTATTTTTAACTTTTTGAGGAATCTCCACACTGTTTTCCAGAGTGGCTGCACCAGCTTGCATTCCCACCAACAGTGTAAGAGGGTTCCCCTTTCTCCACATCCTCTCCAACACTTGTTGTTTCTTGACTTGTTAATTTTTGCCATTCTAACTGATGTAAGGTGGTATCTCAATGTGGTTTTGATTTGAATTTCCCCGATGGCTAATGACATTGAACATTTTTTCATGTGTCTGTTAGCCACTTGTATGTCTTCTTTGGAGAAGAGTCTGTTCATGTCTTTTGCCCATTTTTTGACTTGATTATTTGTTTTGGGGTGTTGAGTTTGGCAAGTTCTTTATAGATTTTGGATACCAGCCCTTTGTCTGTCATGTCATTTGCAAATATCTTCCCCTATTCCATGGATTCCCTCTTAGTTTTGCTATTTCCTTTGCTGTGCAGAAGTCATTATTTCTAAGAAAAATTTTGCTTTAGTTTTGTTATTAGGATATGTTGGTGTTTCCTGAAATGTGTTGTGTGGAGTCTGAATTTTGCAATACAGTAACACTGACTCAAACCAGGGCTCCGTTTCCAAATCTCAGAAGTTTCTATTGCATTCATCGGATGAGTTCTTGGTTTTGTTGTAGTTTTACCTCAGGACATCTAAGGGATTTTATTCTGTGAATAAGCTTGTGGATTCCCAAAAGGGGTTAAGTATCCACCATTTTCCAAAATTATCTGACCAGGGAACAGTTTCATTTTTCAGGAGGCAGCTCTTAAGACCAGTATTTGGCCTAATGTATATTAGTGAATGGTTGTCTTCTAAATTATTGAATTCCTCCATGTGTGACCCTGAATTATTCTAAACAAATTTGGGTGAAAAAAAATTGCTTTCCAGCAGAGACACATTTGTAAAATTAGGCCTAGTTAATGTTGCAGTATAACAGGATTCTTTCCCCACTCCCTTCCTCCCCCCACTTCCTGCCTTCCTTCCTTCCTGCCTTCCTCTCTCCCCCCTCCTTTATTACTCTCTCCCCCGTTCCCTCCCCCCTTCCCTCCCTCCTTCCTTCCTGCCTTCCTTTCTTCCTCCCTCCCTGCTTTCTTCCTCTTGCCTTTCTTCCCACCCTATCTCCTTCCTTCCTCTCTCCCCCCTTCCCTCCCTCTTTCTTTCCTTTCTTCCTCTCTCCCCTTCCTTCCTTCCTTCCTTCCATCCATCCATCCATCCATCATGGTGTTCTATGCACATGTGCTAAAATTTCACAGTGCTAACAGGCTTACTGTCATGTAGCCTTCCTTCTCCAACTTCACCCACTACCTTGGTTCAATACCTATAAAATATCAATCTGATTCTTTTGAGATTGCTCTCCAGTTTTCATTTGTTTTGTTTTCACTAAGTAAATCTTACTAAGATTTCTTGCATGGACTATGGAACCAAATGGCCTAATTTCAAATACTGGTTCCCCAGAACTATGTGATCTTGGGCATGTTTTTCAACTGCTTTGTGCCTTAATTCCCTCACCCACATATAATAATAATGTAATAATAGAATATGTTTGTATATAACACATCTGTGAGTGTGTCTATATGCATGTATACACACTATTATTTATATACACACATCTACACATGAACATAGATATATAGATGTGGTTTGAGGACCATGGTGGAGGTTAAAGGAGCTGATGGTGTCAGTTACTTAGTGCTGGACACTAGAAAGTCTATATAAACATTAGCCTTATTATAACTGTCATCATCATTGTTGTCATCAAATATTTGCTTTTTGCTGAAGTGAGAGAACTGGCCTAGAGAAATTTAAACACATTGAGAAATGGCTTTCGGATGTCAACATCTGCACGAGGCCTGGCCTTTCTCCCAGGGTGGTGGCCAGGTCCCAGGCATGTGTCCCTAGAGAAACAGAAGGTGAGTGCATGGCACTTCCCTCACCCTGGGGTCAAGAAAGTCACAACTCACCCAGGTTTGAAGGGATGATGCAGAAGGTCCTCCTTGGCACATGGGACTCTCAAGGTCTAGAAGGCCTTGAGGAATGGGAGATACTTTGTAGACATCTTTCAGAAACACAATTGACCACAATCCCCTTCTTCCTCAGCATCTCAGGCCTACGTTGGTTGGCACCCCATTGCTCCAAACATCACCCGCAAGGTTTCTCTGGGGTGAGTCTGCTCACTTCTGGTGGGTAGCCACCCCCGCCTAGCCCACTACAGCCCAAGATAATGCCCTGCAAACATCCTCCTCACCCCACCCTGTCTGCTCTCTAGTTTCTACAAAGAATGTGCTGAAACTTTCCATCAGCTCTTATTATCCTTCCATCCTCTCTGTCCTTGTAGATCACAGCGTTCACATGCCTTTCTTATGCTTGGGGAAGGAGAAGCGAGGAGCTCATTTAAACAAATCATGTTGCAGTTGAAGACCCCACAGGTTTCCCTCCTATGTGAACTTGCCCTTCCCTTCACTGTGTCTGGAGCAAGCCCCCTTCCCTTATGATCAACCTGCAGAAATCGTCTTCATGTTTCAAAGCCATTTCTTCATGAACTGATCCCCCAAAATAGATAAGTGTCCATCACCAATAACACTATTAGACTCCTAGAGGTGTTCCTCATTATTTGTCCTGATAGTGCAATGTGTGTGGCTTCTCCATCCTGTCACTGGTTATAAATCCTGAGGGATGAACTTTATCCACTTTTGCATCTTAATAGATCTTAAGTGAACATTCTGTGGTTAAAAGTACAACCATGCTGGTAACAAAGAAATGTCTCTAGAGCAGAAAAGAGTGCCCTATAATCTCCAGATTACACCACACTGGGCAACTTCCATAGGAAGACTCTAGTCAACTGTCCACCAAGGCATGGCTGTCAAAGGGGCCCCATCCATGCAACCCTCAGGTCAAGGGTTCCCTGCAGTCCTTTTGCTATAGGTGGGATGGGGGGACATGTGTAAGGTTGAGAACCCAGGGCCTCTGGATTTCCCCCTCTAGAAGTCAGATGCTGCTGCCTACTGGGGTCTTCCAGCACTTCCAGGAAGAAGAAAGACTAGCTTTGATGTTCCAAGACGTAGAGGTCTCTATCTGCCCAACCCAGAGGAATTATGACATCAGCAGTATATCAGAGCACTATAACAGGATCAAGGCAATATGCTGACACAAAGGCCAATCTCATAATTTCCCATTGCTCTGTGCCTCCGCAGGAGATTGGATGGCCGTGAGGCTGGTGAACGGCACAGGCAGGTGCTCAGGCCGGGTGGAGGTTCTCATCCAGGGCACATGGGGAACCATATGTGATGACCTCTGGGACCTGGCCGAGGCCACAGTGGTGTGTCACCAGCTGCAGTGTGGCCAGGCTGTGGCAGCCCCCACAGGGGCCCACTTTGGGGCAGGCTCCGGGAAGATCCTGCTGGACGACGTGCAGTGTGCCGGCGCTGAGAGCCACCTGGGGCAGTGCGTGCACAGGGGTGAGGCCGGGCTCAACTGCGGGCACCTAGAGGACGCCAGCGTTATCTGCGCAGGTAAGGTGTTGGCTGTCAGCCCTCATTAGGAAGGCTATTTCTATCCCCTCACTTCTCATTCTTACACACACACAACATAGCATAGCCCAGAAAAGTCAGTGGATTGAGGCAGGCAACTGATATTGTCTATATCCTTTCAAAGTTATACATCAGCCTCACCATCCCCTTGCCTCTTGTTGAGTATGGCTCACGATCACTGATCCAGGCTCAGAAGTGGCTTGATGGTTTGAAAATTTGGGCTGAACTTGAATTCAGCCAAATCAGAGTATCTGGCAAAAAAATCCAAATTCTTGCATTTGTGAAAAAAATAAAACAGAAGTTCAGGCTCAAAACAAGAAATTATTTGATTACATCAACTGGCTGGATCTGAGAAAGAGCTGACCCTTTGGTCAAGAAACAGCCTTCTAGTTCACACAGTCGCCATCACTCAAATCCCTTATCTGTTTTATTCCCATGGCCCTTGGAAACTTTGGAGTTTGAGTTTGTGACTTCTAGGTGATGGGCCAGATTTGTCAGCTGATGTTCCAGGTCCTCCACATCTAGACCTGGTGACCTTCCCAAATCTATGGGTCCTGCTACACAGAATCTTTCCTGATTCCATCCTACTGGCAGCTGGAACAAATGTCCCCACAAATGACAAACTCTGCCAGGCTGCACCTGGCCCTTCCTGAACCTCTCAACACCTAAGAACCCTGGGGCAGGGGGTGGGTACTGCCTTCTGAAGCTCCCCTGGGACACTCAACATTTGCTGCCTGGTCTTGTGTCTCAAATCCCCAGGGAAAATACTGAGACCCTCAAGGGCACGGTCTCTGCCTCTCCCTGCTTCCCACAGCTCCCTAAATCTAGGATAATCCCAATAAACAGTCACTGAATAAGACAGGATAACATGCACAATCTCTCTTCACGCTGACAGGTGCTGACTCCACAGCTGCTCTGCCTACAGGTAGGTAGAACCTGTGTTACATTTGGCATCATCTACTAGACCTGGCATGACGTAAGAAAGATCATGAGGTTTAGAGTCAGATCCTGGTTTGATTCTCAGCTTCATTTATTCACTCATCTGTTCATTCAGTGGATACTGACTAAGTGTCCACTGCGTACTACTCTGTGCCAGTAAGCACTGGGGCCACAGCAGTGATCAAACTCCTCCCCACCCCCAGCTCTCTCCCATCACAGGGCCTGCACCCTAATGGGAGGAACAGACATGATATATGATCACTCTCAATTATGGAAACTCAGCCAAGTTATAGCATCTCTTGATCCCGTTTCATCTCATTTTTCTTCACAAGAGTAGGAATAACAGAGAATTGAATGATGGAGAATTAAGTATGACAATGCCCAAAGATACCTAGCACCTGACAAGCACTCACATAGTTCCTCCTTTTGGTCTAATGCCGACTAAGGGAGGTTGTGTGAGCGGTGCAAAGGGCCCTGGGCTGGAGGAATCTGATCCTGTCTGGTCTCTTTCCAGATGAATGACCTTGGCCCTCATTCTTCATGCCATTAGAGAGAGATGATGGCCAACTGATGGCCTCTCTTATGGCAAGCCACATGGGGCAAGTCGTCCATGAGCTTTGCTTTTCTGATGGCCATGTGGTGCATGTTCGTTTGTCAATGGGCAATAACACTATGTTCTGTCCTAAATGAAGATCTTGAGGCTATGAGGTCATTAGCCTTAGAAGGCAGTGTCATGGTTATTCCTGGTGAATCCTGGGGGAGGCAGATGACCCCTTGAAGCAACTGCTTCAGTGTTCTGACTGCTCCCTGATGACGGCCCTTCCTTTTTACCCACCAATAGCCTATGAGAACCTGCTTCCCACATCATTGGTGATATCAGCAGCTCAACACCCACCTTCTTCTGCACCTCCAGGTAAGGCTGTTTCTTTTTATATTATGTCTTCTGAACAATTTTTTTCATCTGACAATGGATGAGTGAATAAAGATGTGTCACTAAGGATATATAATGTCACTGGGGTTATATATAACAATAAACAGGCTGACCCTCAAGTCATCTAATTTCATGGGGGAAGGAGGGTATATCCTGTTACAAAAAAAGTATGGTGATTGCTCTGATAGGGGAGAACAAGGTGCCATAGGTGCTCAGAAGAGGGTCTCCATCTAGAGCCAAGGGGTCTTGGCAAGACCTGAAAGGTGAAGGGACAATAAAATTATGCCGGGCAGGGAGGAAACCGGACAGACTCCCTTTGGGCTTCAGGGTGGGAGACATTAACATGTGTTCCAAATTAGAATATAGGGCTGCCAATAGCATACAGAATTAGTGAACAGTTTGATGGTTTGAGGTGGTTTTCTGCTGTGATCAGGGATGAGTAATATTTAAGGATATTTGGCCTTGAATTAGGGTTTTTTTTTTCTTTTATGAATTAAGCCTAGTCTGAGGTCAGATAAGGTAGGAGTAAAACATTGAACCCCTGAGTCATTTTTAATCTAGCTGTACAGTCAAAAGATTCAGGGAGGACAGAATGGAACCATTATCTCTCCCCGGGGTCTGAGCATCCCTGGTAGAAGAATGCCCAGCAGGTGCCATAGCTCCTAGACATGGGGCATGGTGTGGCAATTACCAAAGGTGCTGTTGTTGGCTGTGTGAGTTTCAATCACCTGAAACATATCTTTCTTTTTTGTGTTTTTTATGTTAACATTATTTTTATATCTATCCAAGCTCTTTTCTTTGCATACTATTTTTTATTGAGGTATAAGTGACATGTAACATTAATATTAGTTTTAGGACTACAACTTGAGGATTCCATATTTGTATATATTGCAAGATGATCCCCGCAAAAAGTAACTTATCTAAAAAGGGAGTATGGATAATTGCCATTGCCGTGTAAAACCATCCCAAGACAAAGTGGCTTAAAATGATCACCATCTGTCACTGCTTATGGTCCAAAGGTCAGCTGGGTAGTTCTGCCCCTCTGGGATGGGCTTGGATGGACTTGGCTGACTCTGCTGGGCTTGTCCATGCATCTGTGTCTAGCTGACAGGTCAGCTGAAGGCTGCCTGACCTAGGATGGACTCCATTTTATGTCTTACTGTTCCATAGCTCTTATCTGAGGTGACAGAGGTGATGAGGCCACCTCACTTTGGTGTCCTCAGCTGCTCTGACCACCATCTTTTAGCGCAAGCCCTGAAGTGATTCTCCAAGGAAGCTGAGCAAAATACTACTCCTTTGTCACCCACAGACTAGCTCAAGCTTCCTCACAGGATCCCTTCAGTGTTCCCACGGAATGAACTGAAGCCTGTCATGCCTCTGGAGGCCTCAGCTCCACAGGAGTATACATTACTTCTGCCGCATTCTGCTGTCACATACCACAGCTTAAAGTCAAAGAGTAGGAAAGTAAACTAACCTCTTGACTGGCAGGGCAACAATGACACACTGTAGAGAGTGAGGATGTCAGGAAGAGAAGCACTGTGGTCATTTTTGTAAACACTCTACCACAAGCAAACTGTCTGAAACACGAGTGTGGATAAGGAAGACATTACAGGCTTCTTAGAGCAGACTTAGCTGGAGAATGGCATGGGAGCTCACATGAACACGTGAAAAGTGTGGATAGCAAAGTCATGGAAAATAAGAAAAGCTAGGTTGGGTAACAGATAGTCCAGTCATCGAAAGGCAGAGAGAGCAACCATCAGCCCATGACCCACCATTCTTTCCCAGGAGGCGGGGCCCCCGTGCGGCTGGTAGGTGGCCATGGGAGGTGCGCAGGCCGTGTGGAACTCTTCTACCAGGGAGTCTGGGGGACTGTGTGTGATGACCTCTGGGACCTGCCAGAAGCAAACATCATCTGCAGGCAGCTGGGATGTGGCTGGGCCATGTCAGCCCCGGGTGAGGCCCACTTTGGGGAAGGTTCTGGGAAGATCCTCCTTGACAACGTGCACTGCAGGGGAGACGAGCCGCGCCTGGAGGAGTGCTCCCATATCGGCTGGTTTTCCCACAACTGTGGGCACGAAGAAGATGCCGGCGTGATCTGTTCAGGTAAACCTCGGCTCCCCTCCCAGGCAGAGCCCAGCCCTGGCTCTTCCTGAAAGAACACTTTTCAAAAGGCCATGTAAATTTAGCTGTTGAAAAGGAACCTGTGCATTATTTGCTCACAGTGGATATTTTAACCCCTCGTGTTTACAGATGCTGAATACTCAACCGTCTCACCCCTGGGTAAGGAAGGCAATATTTACATGTGCAGTTTCCCAAAACCTTGGGGAAGAAATTCTTCTGGAAGTTGGATGTGTCATCCTCCAGGCCCATGGAGTGACTGGGACATGTGGAGTCACCTGCCTGTCCAGTGGGAGAACTGGATAGTACCTTAGAAATCATTTGATCCAGCCTCACTTTAAACTTCTCCCCCATTCTGTACACAGGAAGCAGATTCTAAATTTCTCAGACATGTGTATAGCACTTATTGCCAGCTCTGAGGGTCACAAGGCAATGGCAATGAGATATGGGTAGGGGGATGGTTAAGGATACTTCCTGCTCAGGGGCAAATGGTGGGTGGGCTGGACCTGGCCAAAGTCAAGGTGACCATTCCCAACCTCTCCCTGCTTCTGCTTTGTTCCTGGTGCCCACAGAGCTCCTTTTGCTATTGGTTTTCCCACAGGGTCTTAATGCCAGCACCCAGAGTTTTCCATGCCAGTACCCTCTCTCCTTCATCAACCCCCCAGATTCCCTGATGCCCTGCCCTCAGCTGGCTCTTGGTCAGAGAGTGAATCATGAATAAATCTGAGTAGAAAAGGTCTGATAAAACCTCAGGCACATTCCTTCCTGGGTTGTCAACTCTAGCAGGTCGAAATGGATTGGTCACAGGAAAGGTCTCCAGTGGGGATTTCTGGGTCAGGTGTTCCTGGTAGGAGATATGCAGGGGGCATAAAGGAGGAGCCACAGCATCCTTGGATGTTGGCCTCCCATCTCTGAGCAACACCAGGACAAAGGAAAGGGTGAATTGGGGCCCCTTCCTATTCTTACCTCAAAGTTTCATAACTCCAGGACTTGGATCACTGGAATTGGCTATAGTTGGCAGAATTTCATGTCTTCAGTGTTCTTAAATCCCCATTTTTAAAAATATCTCATTTGTGTGTATAACAAGAGGATGATATATCAAAATCTGGAAAGGATCTAGATCAGTGCTTTTTCCATCCCACACATTAACGTCCCCTGCATGTTCTGGCCTTGCCCCCAGAGAGGACTGAGCCATTCTGGGAGGGACCCCACACTGTATTTGTTATGAGCTCCTCAGGGGATCATGTGCAGCTAATGCCAGGACCTCAGTGCCAGCTGATGAGCCACATGTCCTTTCTGTGTTTGACAGATCGCCCACTGGCTGTCATAGCAGGACCAATGGCCACAGGTAAGACTTTGGTGTCCTTGGCTGCTCTGACCACCATCTTTTAGCTCAAGCCCCAAAGTGGTTCCCCAAGAAAGCTGAGCAAATTACCACTCCCTGTCTGGGTGACCCCTTTGAATCCACGTTCTGAGTGAAGAGTCCAATAATGAAGGCAGATGGATTTATGGTTCCAGTTCCATTGCTATGTAGTCACAGAAGGCAGTCCAAATAATCAAGTGACACCCGCACGCTTGGTCTCCAGCATGGAAACTTCCTGTGAAGGGCAGGCACGTGGCTCCTAACAGCAGTGCTGCCTGAGCGCTACCCAAGAGCATCACTGCAGAGGGCTGCAACCATAACGACCATGTTCTTCTTCTCCACCCTTGTCCCATCTCTGACAATCTCTTTCTTCCTTGTTCATCCTTTCTTTGCATCTTCCATTTTCCCTCCTCTGTTTTTTCCTATATCTGGGGCTTCCAGAAGCTCCACTAAAATTTTCTTTCTTTTCTTTTTTTTTTTACTTTTCTTTTTTTGTTTTTTAAGATTTTTATTTATTTATTAGACAGAGACACAGCGAGAGAGGGAACACAAGCAGGGGGAGTGGGAGAGGGAGAAGCAGGCTTCCCGCTGAGCAGGGAGCCCGATGCGGGCCTCCATCCCAGGACTCTGGAATCATGACCTGAGCCAAAGGTAGATGCTTAATGCCTGAGCCACCCAGGCGCCCCTCCGCTAAACTTTTCTTGACACCACTTGGAGATAAAGGGCTAAAATAATACTGATGCCTGGACAGCCTGGCTGGTCCTTTTATGGAAGAGCTGTAGGTAGATGACCAGAGCCAATATAGGTCCAATTCTTGCACAGCCAGATAGTCTGATGGAGAAAGCCATTGCTATAGGCGTTACTTTTAATTTTGCACTGAATATTGGACAGATGGATAGACAAGCAGATGGAAAACAAATGGACGTGTGGTGACAGACAGACACAGAATGATGTCAGTGTTGGTGGGGTAGATGACTCAGGGGAAGTCCTCTCCACTTAGTAGTGGATTTTTAATAGTGTAATTTTAATAAATTATAACAGATGGCAGATAGGACACTGACATCTTCGTATACATAAAGACTCCATGTAGATTCAGCTAGGGGAAATGAAGCCATTTACTTGTTACTTCTGGTGGCCTGACAAAAGTCAAAGCCAGAGAACCAACCCACAGAACAGAACCCACAAGGGAAGCAACAAGCAGAAGGAAAGATTCTGGCTGATACTGAATAACTGCTCTGCCCACGGCCACAGCCACGTCAGTGATAGATTTCTCAAAACAAGTGAGAGATGTGTCAAGATCCAGACACTCTCATGCCCTAATTTCCTAAGTTTATAAGAGTTTTTAGACTGGTGTATGCCTCTGACATGTCCTAAGACATACCCACAAGGTTAATGACCAAAGAGACCTTTTTCCTAATGAAAGGAAAAGAAAGTGTGAATTCCAAAAGTAGTGAACTGAACAATGAAAAAAAAAAAAAACCTGAAATCCTAAAATATTTTTCTTCTTTAGAAAAATCTAGGTGTGGCAGAGTAATTACCAACTCATCTGGAGCGATTAGGAATCCCCCACAGAATGAAATGCATGACAACATAACCTGTGTGTGGGAAATAAAGGCCAATGCTTCTGATCACATACTGCTGGCATTTCCATATCTTAAGTAAGTCACGAGTACATGACTGAAGTACACCGTGTAGTTTAAAGGTCTGAGCATTTTCCTGTGCTTGATTCTCACAAGCAAAAAAGTTCTTCATGCCCTTTTTAATTTTGAATTTTGACGTAATTGTAGACACACAGGAAGCTACAAAAATAATACATAGAGTCCAATGTACCCTTCACCCAGCTCCCCCCAGCGGTGGCGTCATCTATAACTGTAGGACAATATCAACCCAGGAAGTCATGCAATACTGTGCTAAGCCATAGACCTTATTCTGTTTTCCCATCTTCCACATCCACTTGTGTGTATGTGTGTGTGTGTGAGAGAGATAGAGAATGTTTCAGTCTCTGGTTAAAGATGCAGATTCCAGGGAACCCCCAGACCTTATATATCAAGAAATTTTAGGTTTTAATATTGTAAATAGTCAATGTTGATGTCATTCACAAATGAATGTCCCAGGAGCAACCTAAATTATTTATTGCTATTGAATTTTGCTTAATCAAAAAATGACTTGGAATGGATGGGTCATGAGGCTGAGGCCTGGGGATGGTCTTCTGACTCTAACCCTAGGGGCATCTGGACAAAACTTCACCAGGAAGAAGAGCGGACAGATGGGATGGCTTGCACGGAGCAAGCTGGGCAGACTTGGTAGCTCGCTTCTCTCTAGGCAGGTCGCCTGTGGAGTTCCTAAATAGGTTGCTTGGAGCCTGAAGCCCGTCCTACAGGCAGGCCGCTGCCTGATCCCACCCTTGGCCCTGGGCTTCCAGGTACCTGCAGCCCCAGGCCTCATCAGGGGCCCACCTCGTACTCCAGCCTCCTCTTCCTTCTTCCAGTTAAGATCTCATCCCCTCAAGAAAAAGTGGGATAAAAGGATTTTACACTATGTTGAAATGACTGACGGGCTTTAATCTGTCCCCAGTTTTATTGTCGTGAAAGACAGGTCCTGCCTCACAGCATCCCTCTGAGATCTGCTAATGGGGAAGCTAAGAGGCAGCCATCGGTCTTTGCTTCCCTAGCCTAGATTGCACCAATGAATATTTTGAAATCCTGGACGGCCCTCCATCCTCGACAAAGTCCCTGGGGAAAACCTGCTCTGGGTCCTACCTCACCTACGCGTCCTCCTCCAGCTCAATGACCCTCGTGTACTTCCGAAGCTTCAACAACATAGGGAAAAACTTCGTTGCTTATTATTACTCTGCACCCAAAGGTATGGACAGTGGTTAAAAGCAGGAGCTCTGGAGTTGCAGCTAACTGCCTTGGGGCCAGTTACAGCCCCATCACTTAATCTGTGACCCTGGACAAGAGACCCAACCTCTCTGTGCCTCAAACCATTCCCTGTGTAACAGGGATTAGAGAAGCTTCCTTCCTAGGCTTGTCGTGGGGCTTACCTGGAATGACACAAGTAAAGCCCTTGCACAACAATGGTACATCATGTGCTCAGTGCTTGGCAGATTCAACCCCAAGCCTGCTTCCCCGTAAATATTCGGTACAGTTTGCCCATTGGAACACCACTTCTGGAGTTACACTAAATCTAGTATGAGGCGGGTGTTTCAGGACCTACAGAAGAAGCAGCTGTGGTCCCAGCCTAAGAGGGACTCATGTACAATCTGGAAGCAGTTTAAGACAAACCTGTGTGATGCAATTAGAGGACAAGTAGAATAGACTAAATGAAGGCAAACAAATGGGATAGACTAGAATATACTAAATTGACATACACATGCGTCTCAGCCAAAGACATTAGAAAAGAGAGAGAGCTGTGCGGGCTAAAACACGAAGGAAACATAGGAAGAGACGGCCTTAGATTTGTCTTTAAGCCTGGCCAAGCTGTGAGTTGAGAAATGGGGAGGGGGCACGCAGGAGAAGGAGCAGCGTGAGTACAGAGATGGGATGTACAGGACATGCGGCGAGAAGCAGATAGAAGCTGAGCCAAGGTTTCTGATACAGCACAGGTACTCGAGGTTGGGTTAATCACAGCAACAGTGACCAACATAGTAATGAACATTTACTGAATGACGCTTTTATGCGAGGCAACCCTGTAAGCACTCTGCATGTGTTACCGCCTTTCATCCTCACACGAACCCATGGTTCTTCCCCTTGTAAAGTCAGGGAAACTGAGGCTAGAGAGGTTCCATAATTGTTCTGAGGCCACCCAGCTATGGATCCTGCACTATTTACCACTGAGAGAAAAGAGTCTGTCTCATGGACCCTATGAGCAGTTCTATCATCTGTCTTGGCTGAGATGCTGTTCAGATCAGTCTCCCGCCCTGTTAGGGAGTGCCAGGGTGGCTCAGTGAGCACCCTTGGGAAGTATGCTATGAAACGGGGAGGAGGCTCTCTGTGTCACAAAGTGGGTCGGAGAAAGTCATTGTCACTGTGATTGAGCAGTTACTGATGAGGCTTCCTTGTCGTTGCAGAGGCGAGTTCAAGGACCCCACATCTAATCAGTGAGTCACATTTACTGTTGCTTCTTTATCTTCATTCCTCATTTGTGTGTCTTCCTCTGACCCCCTCTCCTGGTGCTTGGAGTGTCATAGTTTGATCTCTGCTTCATATTTTTCCTAATTTCCTGCATCTTTCCAGCTAGCCGAGAGATTCTGTCTGTACATGTTTTGCACAAGCATAACGCCCATTCGCCATAGAACCAAGTTCCATATACCAACCGTTGGGTGTCTGTAAATTGGTAATTGCCAATTTGATTTCTTAATTCCTTGCTTTTATCAAAAACAGTGAGACACACCTAATCAAGCCCTGCACACTTAGGGAAAGTTAACAAAACAGAAGCACATGGAAGAAATGGCTTTTTCCCTAGAGGGGCACCATACATGTTTGCATTCTGGAACAGAATGGCACAGTTTAAGTGTCATCATATTCCCACTGACTGGACAGAAAGGAATATTACTTCTGTTGGATCCTACATGTCTGAGGAACAACATAAACAGAATGCGATTTGGGAGGCCCCTTATTGTAAAGATGCAAGGGATAATGAATCAACCAGAATCTTGGTGTTTAAGGGATGCTGCCATCTTGACCCTTTTTATCTGAAGGGTGTCGTCTTGTATTCACAGCAATCCCAACAGCAACACCCAAGACAGTGACAGCAAGACCAGGTAAGCCCTGGGATGCATGCGTTCACTTACCAACTATCCTTTCCTCTTGGAACCTGCATCTGTACCTGCTTCAGGGGCAGAAACTGGACCAACTGCGTGTACTTCATCTATTTGAAAAATGGACCAGTTGACTCTATGCGTATTTTTAGGACCATCCAAAACTCTTGGGATCCTTTGGCTCTAGAATCATGAGCAAAGTTCTTTTTTTTTTTTTTTTTTTTTTTTTTTTGGTGTTTTTCAGAGTCTTCAAAGCCTGACCAGCTTCCAGGTGCCTTCTAGTGGGGCTCTCTCTATTTTTTTTATTTGGCCAGTCTTGCTCTTGGTTAACCTGTATCTGTGTAACTAATGGGCTTTTTCAAAGTGAGTGGAGTGTCAAAGTTATTCCAGAGGCAGTGAGATGGAATAGCAGAGAAAAACAGTGAACTTTGGAACCAGGAGAGCTGACTTTAGATCTGCTACATCCCAGATGTGGGATTTTGGGTGAATAGTTTCACTTCTCCGACTTAAAGTCTCCTCATGGATAGAAGTGGCGTGCTGGTACTCTTCCACCTGCCTTCTGAGTTATTACAAAGGTGAAGATGAGCATATACACGCCCACCCATTCTAAGGCACTCCACAAAGCCACAAATCACTGTGAATATTATATATAATGTTTTTCTGTACTTAGCTGAAATAGATTGGCACATTCCTCTGGCCCAATACATACTCAATTAATGAATGTTTTAGGCTAAATGTAATTTTGACTATCTTAATTGCATATTAACCTCCAAGTAAGGGGTTGACCAGTTGGCTGGCTCTTTTATCAAGTTCCTGTCCCTAAGAGAAGTGTCAGGGTGGAGAGCGTAACCAGTTCATGGGCAATGTGTAGTGTCCCTAGAAGACAATGATCACCAGGTCTCTATCTGCAGGGGACTGGCCAGAGCTGAGGCTGGTGGGCGGCTCGGGACGCTGCTCAGGACGCGTAGA